AGAAGTAGAATCAAGATAATTTTATTCTCGAGAATTTTAAAAGTTCTTTATTATTAAATTTTTTTTTCGGTCTCCATGATGTTATTTGAAATTACTACGAATTGATAAATTTATTTCAATGCTGAATATTTATAAAGAAAATTCTAAGGAACTTTCTTAAAGATTAAACAGAATATGTCCAAAAGAAACAATACTTATCTTTTTCATAATTCTTATCTTCATCATAATTTTCAGTAGTAACCAAGAAGAAATCAATAACATTTTAAAATTTTTGCTTCTAGCTACAATAATAATAATGTACTTGGAATTTATCTATCTCAAAAGGGTGCTTTTTTACTGGGCAATAATTCCCTTTAAGCCAAGAAAAATATCTGGTTTATGAAGAAATCTTTTGTTAAATGACCATTTCAATTTAAAATATATGAAATTTTTTAAAATTAAAAATGATAATGTGTGGATTATGTGTATATTTATTACGGATAAGGTCATAACCAAATTTTTTTTTCTGGTTGACAAGTACATGCTTGGATATAACCTTCTTATAAGTTTATTTTATAAATTACAAAAATGTTTATAAAAAATTTAATCTTTTCCAATTAATATAAATTTTAACCATTAGTACTGCACAGTTTCCGAATGGAATACGATAAGAAGGTTCTCTTGAAAAAATATTTGAACCGAAAATTATTTTCAAATGAGTTTTTCTATAAGTGCAAAAGTAGAAAGATTAGATTATATTAAGGGAAACCAAGTAATTTAGAATGTGATATGGCACTTTTTAGTTAACATATTGCAGCATTTTGCTTAAAATTTTACTTATTCAACTCTTGAAGTCACTTAAACTAACACTTTTTCAGATATTGTCAAAGAAATCATAAATTGGAAAAGCATAAATTTTTATTTTAATTCATATAAGCACAGCAATCCCCTTTGGTTTTTAATAGTCTTCGTATATTGGTTTTTCTCAACAGCAAGATAATGGAAAGGTCGTGAATTTTTTTCATTAAGGGAATTTTAGGTGATTTTATGAATCGTGGATCAATTTACATTAATTGCCTTCCAAAGAAAACTTTTCAACAATATTTGCGAATTATTTAATGGAATGAAATTCCCTGAGGGAAAATAACGCTATCTTTGCAAATAGATTCAGTAAAATATTTCAATCTTTTTCTTTAATGTACTTTGATTGTTTTCTAAAAATAAATGATATAAAAGAAAGAATAAACGTAGGACAAAATGTCGAGTTATATGCATGCGAAATAAAAAATAGAAAATCTATACAGATAAAAAAAAGTGTCTGAGAGAAAAGACTTACTGTCTGACATTTATAAGACGGATGCACATCTGCATATTGAAAGGAGATTGAAAATTCAACAAAAAATAAAACAAAAATTTGTATTTTCACTCCTTCGATTTAAATTCAAATATCAGAAACTGAGGAAAGATACACAATGATCGATTTTTTATTGTAATGGTTACTTTTGTGCAAAAATGCATGAGTATGATTAGTAACATTTAAAAAGGGTAGGGTTGCTTTTTATTTTACACAAATCAATTTTAATTGTCATTACCTAAAAGAAATGTTATTTTGAAATTTTATGCATATAGTGAAATATTTAATTTTTAAAATAAATTGAATCTATTTCGCAAATTTTTAGCACAGGATAATTCCGCTTTTTGGTAATAGAAGTATGATAAACTATAGAGATTTGATTTTGTTTAAAGTTTATACATGAAAGTTTATCTGAATTGAAGATTTTTGGTAAGGTTTTGAAAACTAGTCCACTATGCAAAAGCAGTTACACTTTCCAGCAGTATGCACGGTGAACTACATAATATATTGTGTATGTTCAAAGATATGAAAAAAAAGTTTCATATGAAATTTTAATGACTGGCAAAATAATGCCAGGCAAAAGCTTTTTTCTTTTTTATTTTTTATGGTGAGAAAATAAAGCAAAAGCTTTTGAAGCAAATATTTTCGTCTAGTAATTTTTTCGGGGTACAAGCCTAATTATTATCATTGGTGAAAGTTTATCAATTTACTTGAACAATTAAGTATGAGTATGTAAAAAATTGTGATTTTCATCATCTTGTGTATTTTTTTGCAAATATAAGAAAAATCAATTCTTAGAGTTTAAAAATATGTACAAAACTATTTTCTGGTGGACGGGCTTGATATTTAATTTAAATATAATATGTATGTATGTAAGATGTGCAGTAGTTGTTTGAATTCTAGTATTGCTATTCAATCACAAAATATGGTATTCAAACGTAAAATACTAACCTATACATTATTGGAAAAAGTACTTCGAAATGATAGGAGAAAGAGGGGAAAAATAGTCTACGATTTTTTTCTATCTTTCAAAGCAAAATTTATCTTTGACATTTCAATCTAGAATGTAACCGTGCGAAAATGTTATTGCAATATCAAACAACTATTACTTTTTCATTCCAATGATGCTCAATACTTGTTTTGTTTTTTAAATTTGTGCAAAAGCCAAATACCTTTTTTAGAATCTAAGAAAATTAAAACTTAAAACGGTAGAAATATTAAAAATATTTTTTATCATGTATTGATAATCCTTTAGTCTCATCACTAAATATCAACAAATTCAGTTAGTCAGTCATATCTTATAAAATTATCAAGTATTTTATAAAAATGAAAAAATCGGCATTAAAGTTTCAACCAATAAAAATAATTGGTTTTTTTAACTCTAATCTATTTGTTGATTAAACATTAAACTTGATGTGAACTAATGTTTTTAACTAATTTTTATAGGTTAGTGAACATTAAATTAGAAAGTAAAAATTAACATATTAAATTCAAAATTAAAATTTAAAGACATTTAAAATATTTATGGGAGAGAAACAAAAACTACTTATGCTGTATTGCAGACGAAAGAAATTTCCGTTTTACGGGATTTTGACATATATGTTATTATGGCCCAAATTACATGTTATGTTCAAGCTTAAGTTATTTTAATAAATTAATAAAATAAATTAATAAAATGCTTATTGAGAATCGCTGTATTTTGGCATTGGGTTATAATTGGCCATTGTTAAGTACTTACATAAATGTATGTGTATCTGTATGGTATATGTAAGCTTTTTAACGAGTTTGTAATGTAAGTTTTAGCTGTAACGAAAAGTTGAGTAAAATTCTAGAAAAAAACAATTATTTTTTTGTTGCGGTTATTTTGTTACTATTGCCAATATTAAGAACAAAAAATTGTGTTTTTGAATAAAAGTTTAACTCCTTTTGTTTTAGGTTTTGTTACTGTTTTAGTTTTTATGGGCAAAGAAAATTATTTTTCAGAAGTTTTGAGACGAAAACCATGATAATGTTTTTATAACTTGTTTTATGTGAATTTTCAGTTGTGTATTGCACTTCTTTAAAAACAGAAACAAAGAAAGTTTAAGAACTTGTTACGGAAGAAAAGAAAATAATACATTTAGAATTTCTGTAAAATATATTCAATAAATAAGTAGAAAACTTTCAGAAGAAAATTTAAAAGTGATAGAAAAACTATTAAAATTGCATAGATATTTATGCACTTGATTTATATATAAAATAAAAATATTAAATTGTTAATAGCGAATTATTTTTGTGAAATTTATTTGAAATTTCTATTGAATTTTCAATTTAAAGCAATATAATATTGCCTGAGTTGTAGAAGGAAAAAGACTTTTATGTATGTATATGTATTTGTGTTTAGAAGAATACTAAATATTTGAATTCATTTCATTCAGAACGTACTGGATATAATAAGAAATTAAATTGCGGCTATTAAACATTGACTGTTTTACAATGCACGTGCATTCTCTATCTTTTACTAAACAATAAACAATAATTTCGTCGTTTTAAGCAATAATTGGATATCGGATAATCCGTTACTCTGAAATCTTTGTTGCAATTTCTTACATGTCTTCTTACGCAACTAACTGTAATTTTTTTTAAATTTTAAAGGAATGTCCGATCGTATGTTCTTAAATAAAAAAATATATTTTATTTTGGCTCCTAAGCCCAGAATTAAATATTTGTCACTAGAAACTATGATTAGAATTGGAATATTAAGGAGTGACTTAAGATTTATAATTATAATTTTTGATTTATTATTAGATTTTGTTTTTATTGAAATTAGGGAAAGCTTGCAGTTTTGTAAATATAAAACCCTGCATATTAAAATTTTGTGATTTCGAAAGGTGATAAATTAGGATTGTATGGCCGTGGGAAAAAAATTTCTGAAAACGAAATAAATTAAATTTTAGTGTCTACAAGCTGCTAAAACTTCAGACTAGTAGAAATTATAGGCTAGAAGAAAAATGATATCAAAAAATATTTGAAAAAAACATTTGGTTTCAGATAACATTTAATTTCAACAGCCATTTTGTCATTTTAATGTTTGACTATGCTGTACCGCGATGAAAGAAGCAAGTAACTAATTTCTGGTGTTTGCAATTTAATAGCTAATTGGTGGCTTCGATACAATATTTAGGCAAAAAATAGGACCTTTAGAATTTTGGTGGACTATAACACTTTTTTTTTTTTGTTCCTACTTTATTCCACTCGGGAGCATAGGGCTTTTACAAAGCTTCTCCAACGAACTCTGTTAGGGGCCATTCTTTTTACTTCTGCCCATGTCATATTAGCCGTGGCGATTTCTTTCTTTATTGTTCTTTGCCACGTATTCCTTGGCCGTCCAAATTTCTTCTACCCTGCGGATTCCACTGTAATGCCTGTTCTGCGATGGTTTCAGGCGGGCGTCGCAATGTATTGCCTATCTATCCCCATTTTTTCTCCTTTATAACCCTTGCGATTAGTTTTTGGTGGGTTAAAGCCCAGAGGTCTGTGTTGCTGTTTCGTCTGGGCCAGAATACACGGCAGATGATCCTTAGTCTCCTATTTATGAATATCTGCATTTTATTTGTGTATTTATTTTTCACTAGCCATGTTTCGAAGCCATACAACAAGACCGGCTTCACACATGTGTTGAATATTTTCAGCTTTGTATTCCTGGACAAGTGTGACTTCCATATGCTCCATAATCTACCGAATAATTTTCAACGTCTTCTTTAACCCCTTCGGTTGTCGATATTATTGTAGTTGAATTGCTCAACATCTTTATGACGAATCCTCCAGACGGCTCCTCCAGTATTATTTCGTCTAGGGCTATGTTGAATAGTAGCGGAGAGAGTGGACACCCCTGTCTTATACCTGTTTCGTTGCGTAGTGGTTCACCCAATTTATCGTTATGGAGGACTCTAATTTCGGTATCTTTCTATAGAGGTCGTATGAGGTTCGTTATTTTTTGTGGTATTTCTTTACTAATTAATACCCCTATGGCCTCTCGCTTTACTGTGTCGAATGCTCTCTCAAAGTCGACGAATGTTATGTATAGTGGGGATTTCCATTTAATCGACTGTTCCACAATTAATCTCAGGATATTTGAGTGGTCTATGCATGCTCTTCCCGCATATTTTCTTGAATTTTCGTTTCAATTCTGTACAGAATTATAAATTTATAAGTGCCAGCACCTTGTTGGCTGTATTCGGGAGAGTTATACCAGTTCCCGCACTCCATGAGTTTGCCTTTCGGGATTTTGATAATTATCCCTTGCTTCTAGGATTCCGGGATTCTTTCACTCTCTCACATATTTTGCAGTATGGGCTGAAGAATCCTGGCAATACTACTTATATCGACCAGTAGTAATTCTGCGGGGATACCATCGGGGCCTTCTGTTTTGTTGTTCTTGAGCTTCTTTAGTGCGTCCATGATTTCCGCTGCGTGGAAAGGCCTGTGTTTATTCGAGGATGCTAAGCCTGGTTTTGGACGCATCTTGCGTTTGTTGTTGCCCAACTTCTGCGGGGGAACCAACTTCTTCAAAGTTGGCAATGATGTTGTAGCATCTGCGTTTCTCTTTTCTGGCAGACTTCTTAACTTCTTTTGCAATTGTGTTATATCGTGCTCTTACATATGTGATCAATTTGGCTTTTAGTGCGAGCGCCTGGTTACTCCGAAGTATATTTACGGGCACACGGTTTGAGAAGCATTATTGCTTCTCAAACCTGTGCCGTGTGGGCCTATTATTTTGATCAACCTCACTTCTGGAGCCAGTTTTTGCTTTAAGGTCCCCCATCAGTATAACAATATCTGTTTTCGGGATGTCATTCACAGTTGTCGTAAGCTGGGCGAAGAGTTCATCTTTTAATTCTATGTATAACATTTAGAGATAGGACTATAACATTTAGAAATTGGAAAATAAGTAAAAATTTCCTTTATTAATTTTAATAATCTACATCTACGAGTATGCATGGAGTTTCAGCTTTATAATTAAAGGCCGTAGAAGATTTATAAACAGACGCAAATAAGAAACTGTTTTCCAATTTTGTTTTGTTTGGAAAAGTACTAAAAAGCAAGTAAGCCTAAAAATCTTTTTAGTTTTGTTAGAGAAGTACCCTTAAGTTTCCATAGTTTGAGAATAGTGAGAAGGGGTGAAAAGTTAAAAAAACAAGTACATATTATTGTAATAAATTTAAAATTTATCTGGATGTATTATAACTACATATTTTATTAACCACGTAAAACCATCAACTTTATAATTGATATTATTAAAAAAATCTCAAATCAAAACCTTGTTTTACTATACTTTTTCCAAATTACAAAATTTCATTTTGTTATTATCTACACCTCAATTTTATATCTGTAAAATAGCATTTTGAAAAACTTCAAAATTTAGAGAGATACCAACTCTTAGTATTCATAACCTCATTACATATGAATGTGGTTATCATTAGTTATAAAATTAACAAATTCAAATTTTTATAATATTGTGCTTGAATGCTACACGAACACAATACGATTTTTTAGAAAATAATTACGAAATTACGATAATAAGAGAAAAACCGTTTTGTTTTATTTTTTTTTCTTTTAAGAAACAACTGAACTTTAATATTTCAATTTAATTAAAAAAAATTGTATATAAATTTTTCTGAATAATAGAAAGAAAACAAAATGAGTTGTGTTTTTTCGTCGTTGTTTCTTTTAGAGTTGGAAGAATAAAAATGATTTATACTTTTGTTAATTACAAAATAAATTTGTCAGCATAATAACGAAAAAAAAATATACAAAAAAATTTTTGCAAATAAAAAAAAAACGAAATGAAATCAAAAAATTCAAAGAAAATTCAATAGTAAAATTCGAAAGAAATAAAAACAAAAGAAAATGTTACAAAGAAAATAAAAACTAAAATAAAACAAACAAAAAAAAAACAAAAAATTTAAAATCGAAAAATAAAGTATTATCCTTTCAAGAACAGCTGTGCCATATTCATTGCCATATTATTTATCCTGGTTTTAATAATAATTTCTCAAGTTAATTAAAGTATAAAGAAAAAGAAGTAAAAGGAATCTATGCTTGTGCCATTGCCATACATACATGCATACTATAGTCATTCACATATTAGTATTATTCTATTAATATCAGAGTAGCGTTTAATCTAAAAGTGGAGGCGGAGATATTGAGAATCGTTATGTTAATAACATTCGTTTTTATTTTCATGATTTCTCTGAGCAAACAAAAATTTAAAGAACAACAATTTTTTTATTAAAATCAGAAAATTAATATTTACATATTTATGTTGGAAATCTCTTTCGAAATTCGAAATTTTCATAATATTTCATAAATTCTACATTAATTTAATTTTATCTGAAATGACAATCTATTTATTTTGTAATAGGATAGTCAAAATGACAGGATATAAAAGTTTTACAAATATTTATAGATTTCTTTTATTATATGTGTAAATAAAATACAAGAGCCGCACACGGTTCGCGGTGTATCTTTTAACGAACGCCGGTAATGTGAAAATACTGTGTATTTTTTTTTTCGGTTGTTCTCATTCTCCAATATAAAATATTTTTCTTTTTTGTTTGTGTAATTTTCTTATTTTTAAAATAAGAACTCATTTCATGTATAAAATATATATATCGAATGTATTTAATCTGTATACATATATAATTCAAGCAAAAAAAGGATAAAAATTTCAAAATGTACAGATAAAACCAAATACACAACTTTCTTTAATAACCTCCTTCCGATTTTTCTCTGATTCAAAGATTTGGTGTATTTGTTTACTGATACAAACATAAATTAAAACCAAAGAACATAAAATGAAATAATAATACAATAATAATAAGGATACAAAACAATCCCTACAATGTTTTTTTGTTTTGCCGAAAGATGAAAAAACCTCAAAATTTTTTATCTTATGAATTGTTAAAAAAGTCCTGAGAAAATTTATATTTTTTTTTTTTGGTTTTTATTCTTTTCATGTTTAGTTTTTTTTTTATTTTAGAGCAAAATTTATTTTGCTTATTCAAAAAAATAATTTTGTATATTAGGTTCTTGCTTTTTAATGCGTTTGTGTGTATTAACGTATGTATGTATGTATGTATTTAAGGTTTTGTAACTTTTTAAAAATTTTCAATTGTTTTAATTTTTTTTGTTATGTTTTGTTGTTTTAAAGTAAAATAATATTGTTAGAATTTTGTAAAGGATAATTAAAAATCCAAAAAAATGGGTACATATAATTATTTGTAATATTGGAGTTATATATGTATAAATGTAGCAGAGGTCGTGTGTGTATACCGAAATTGAGATTAATGAGTCTCAACAAGGTTTTTTTGAAATGAAGTACTTAAATAAAAAAGCTGCGTGAACTTTAAAACATTTAAAACGTTCTGAATTAGCATTTATTTAACTTTAAAATGTTTGTGATCGTTATATTAGATGTAATTTCCATTGTCATTAATAATGTTTAAGGGCATACTTACCAATTTAATTAACAAATTAAATAGACAAATTTAATGAAAAGCTTAGAAAACACAGAACGCAAAATATTGTTCTTGAACGTAATATTTTCTTTCACTAACTAATGTAAGGCGTTTTTGAAATCATAAAAAATTTATTGTTTCAGCTTTATAAAACAACAAAAATTTAGAAATACAATTCCAACTACATAAAATTGTTTTTATAAAATATATGTACCTCCAGTATATTTGAGAAAACTATTTCCTTGAGATAAAACTTGCGCGGAATTAGTTCAAAATTCCTAATATTTTACTAGGATCAAGATTTTTTAAACATGAAAATTACAAAGTTATAAGAAATATAATTTTTATATTTAATTTCCCAAACGAATAATTGAATTTAAAGTTTAAATTTAAAGCATTCAAATTTAATATTCAATAAAAATTTTTAAATCTTAAAATATTTAATTTAATCTTAACTCTCTTATGTTATATTCTCATTATTTATTAATTTTCTTTTAGAAGAAATGAATAGTTAATATCCACATGACATATACAACACAATTGACCAAGTTTATGGTGTAATCCTGGTACAGAACACATACTTATATAGTTTTCATATAAGCATACATAGACGGATAAATAGATTTATGTACTTGTGTACAAATTATTTTTATCTTATAAAAACTTTGTATACATGTATGCCATATAGCCGTAGAGAGTTCATCATAATATAGTGAAATTCTCTTAACATGAAAGAATGTAGAAAAGATAAATGTCTTACTCTTTTGTAAAAAATAGAAAAGAACCATTTTTTGGATTTTTGATAATGAAACGACATGGATATTAAACAATAGTTCTACTAATACTTTTTTTATATGTATAGTTTTTATTATATTTATAATTTTATATTGCACTATATATTTTATAAATATCCATAAAAAGTAAAAGGTTTAAAGCGTTTTTTAATAACTTTAAAAAAGTTTATAAGTTTAAAGCTGTGATCAGCAGACTAAATATTTGATTTAATAGAGAAATAGTTTATAAAAAAGATATACAAACATAAGACGTCTATATGCAATGATATAATACACAACCACAAGGACTAAAACAAGAACTTAAATTTTAAAAAATAACAAGGAAAAATATTCCAACTAAATGATTTTATCAATTCTTGTATAATGAACGAGAATTTCGGACACAAAACAATTTTAAGGAGAAAAAAAGTAATCTTAAAATAAAAATCTAAACCCATCTGACACATCTGGGTACCCCCATATCCTTTTTTAAAAACATAATTCCCATTTTTTCATTTCCGAATTAGATTTATTGAGAAAGTGATTAGATTTATTTTTATCATTAAATTTTGTCTTATATTTCAAATTAATTTTACTTATTTAATTTGAAAGAAAAAAGGATTCAACATGATAAAGACATCGAATAATACGAGTATAATACAATTTCTCTGTGTCAAGACTGAAACAACTCAAAATACTTTAATTCTCAAAATAAAATTTTAGTTTTAAAGGAACATTTGAATGCGGCACTTTTATGCGGTCAAACTTATTTACGTTATATCCATATTTTTCTTAACAGTTCATCGTCTCATGCAAAAGTCATTATTAAACACAAAGATTTATCTAGGAAGGTTGTGAATTGAATTTAAGAAAAAAAAATATGCTCAAAGTTAAAAAGACCGATTTCTATTAAATATTAGACTTTCATGAGTTTCTAAAGATACAGTCGGTGATGTCTTTTCAAATTTTATTAGATCAAAATACATTTCTGTTTCTTAAGCAACGTTTTAGTTTGTGATATGAGCTTTAAATTGGTATGCAAGAAACTATGAATAAAAATTAGGACAAGGAAACTTTTATGAAGTTGAAAACGAATCGTTTCTAGAGAAATTGCTTAAAAGTTTTGGTATTTTCTAAATGACTCAGGGATTTTGAAAATGTTTAATTTACGGCGTGTAATGTAAAAAAAAAAACAGTGTTGTGCTCGTGGTCAAAATAGCCCTCCCATGTG